GTGGTGTGTGTGTAGCTTCATAATAAACAATTGTTTACATTGCCCTGCTGAATGGTAGGGAGAATCTTACCATTTCCTCGTTCTGGTACCTGTATGTTTTCCCCATGGTGCCAATAGCAGCTCCGGGAAGGAGGCCATTTAAATGGCAGAAACTTAACCATGAAGCCCAGACACGCACCCATAACTGGATCGACAGATTCATGGATGTACCCCCAGAACACAGTCACTGTACAAGTGTGTGAAAAGGGATGATGCCAAGGGAGTAAGTGGAAGAGGTGAGGACCCGGCCTTGTTGGCACTAACAGGGTTAAACCAGTAGCAAGGGCTGGCCCAAAGGCCAACAATTGGGGCACGGCTGGATAATTGGCAGCTCCCCTAACAGGAGAAGGCATCCCATAGAGCTGGAAAGGAAGGGAACAGAAGAAGCCAGGACCCCTCCCCTTGTTCCCGGGCCAATGACAGCTCTTGGGCCAGGACTTAAAGAGGGCCATGGGAAGGAGCTTGAGAATGAATGAGAGGCAAGACTTTGATGGCGAGTGGAAGCATAAGGAGCCAGGCAGCTGGTGCAGGCAGTGCTGCAACTCTCCTGGGTGAGAGAGCCTCATGTTATCGTTCTACAATAAGAGAAGAAAGTTCTGAGTTACTTGGCATTCTCCTGTTCCTTGGGGGACTTATGGATGGTCAGCCCCTCTCCAGCCTTCTGTGCAGTCCCATCCTCCCTCCCTCTCCATGAGCAGGACCCGAAAAGGATCCAGCAGCTACAAAGTGGTATTTACATTCCCTACCTCCTTTGTTCCCCACCGCTGCACTGCAGCCAGAGAACTGGGAGATTCAGACACAGCTATGGTGCGGGCTTCCAACTCATCCCCTTATTGCCTGAATTGCAGGGTGGAAAGATGCTGGGTGCTCACCTTGACCCATAAGGACATAAGAGTCCTGCAGGATCAGACTAGTGGTCCATCTAGTCCAGTGTCCTGTTTTACACAGTGACCAACCAGTTACTCTGGAGGACCAGCAACAGGGCATAGTGGCTAAGGACTTCCCCTGATGTTGCCTCCTAGCTCGGGAATTCAGAGGTTTACTGCCTAAGATATACAGAGGTGTCTAACAGTAGTCATTGTGACCTCTCCGATGTGAATCTTAATCCCTGTTTAAAGCCATCACTATATACACTGGTGGTGAATCCCACAATTTTCCATTGGTAACGAATTCCACATCCTTGAGGCGATCACTGCATTCTTTGGCAGTGAATCCCACAATTCAATTACTCATTGAATAAAGTACTTCCTCTTGCTCATCCTGAATGTACTGCCCCCAAGTTCTAGCATTACGGGAGAAAAAAATCCTCTCTATCCAATTTTGCCACCCCGTACATAATTGTGATGAACTATGAAAAACCACTCTGAGGGGAGGTAGTAGCAGAGGCTCACTCTGATTGGTGAGTCGCCTCCAGGACAACGGAAGCATCCAGCAGGGGGCTGGGGGGGGGGAAGGAGAGCTGACAGTTGGAAGGGTGGTGGGAGGGGTTCTTTTTGGAGAGAGTGAATCTAATTGAGGAGGGGGCCTTTTGAGTGGCTGCCTTCAGAGAGACAGTGGGCAGGATGTCCCAGAGACAGGGGCAGAGCAGACTCTGCTGAAGGGATTTGCCAGAGTAAAAGGTCAGACCCAGGTTAAAAAAGAGAAAGACATCCACTCACACAGGGACTAGTTGGGATTCAGAGCCTAATCAGGGGAACCCTGGTTTATTGGTGGTATAAATTCACTAGTATCACAACTGCCTGCTTATTGTAAGGAACCTTCTGATAGGGTTTATAATTTTTATTTTTAAACCCTGCTATTGGTGCCATTCTTTCATACCTGTCGGGAAAGGTTTGGGCTCCTGAGGTTCACTTTACCTGAGAAGGGTTCCTCACAATAATTTTATAGACCTCTATCATGTCACCCCTTACATATGTCTTTTCTAAACTGAAAAGCTCCAGACTCCTTATCCTTCCTTCATAGGAAAGGTTACCCAGCCCACAAACTGCTCGCCTTAATAAACAGAAACAAGCTAGCAGCTACAGGATTGGGGGGGGGGCACAGCTGTGATACAAATGGCCATCAAAGGTCTCTATTCTCAAGCAACGGCTGCCACTGCTCAGGGCTGTCAATGTATCAACATGCTGAAAAACTGTACAACAAATGATCTGATTGCTGGTAAAGCTGGTGGTGACTGCTGTTTTATTGGTGAACTGAATTTCTGAACTTGTTTTTCATCCTGTATTTCTAAAATAGGTCTTCAGAGAGGCAGCACACAAATTATCTAATAAATACATGAATATATCATAAGAACATAAGAACATAAGAGATGCTATACCTTGTGGCTAATAGCCACTGATGGACCTCTGCTCCATATGCTTATCTAATTCCCTTTTGAAGCCGTCCATGCTTGTAGCTGCCACCACTTCCTGTGGCAGTGAATTCCATGTGTTAATCACTCTTTGGGTGAAGAAGTACTTCCTTTTATCCGTTCTAACCCGACCGCTCAGCAATTTCATGGAGTGCCCACGGGTTCTTGTATTGTGAGAAAGGGAGAAAAGTACCTCTTTCTCTACCTGCTCTTTCCCATGCATAATCTTATAAACCTCGATCATGTCACCCCTCAGTCGTCTTTTCTCCAAGCTAAAGAGCCCTAAGCGCTTTAACCTTTCCTCATAGGGAAAGTGTTCCAACCCTTTTATCATTCGGGTTGCTCTTTTCTGCACTTTTTCCAAAGCTATAATATCCTTTTTAAGGTGTGGTGACCAGAATTGCACACAGTATTCCAGATGAGGTCGCACCATTGATTTATATAGGGGCATTATTATATTGGCTGATCTGTTTTCAATACCCTTCCTAATAATCCCCAGCATAGCATTGGCCTTCTTTATTGCAGTCACACACTGTCTCGACATTTTCAGTGAGTTATCTACTACAACTCCAAGATCTCTCTCTTGATCAGTCTCTGCCAGTTCAGACCCCATCAATGTGTCCCCCAACGGTCCCAATCCCCCAACGGTTGGTGTTTATTCATATCTGAAATGAAATGAATATGGATAGACAGCTGAGAACGTCAAAAAGTTGTTTTTCTACATCCTGGAATATTGACTAGTTTAACGGCTCAGTCTCCAGCCAGCATAAACTCAGCAAAATGTAAACCAGTCCATTGTCTTAACGTTCACCGTGAACAGCATCTTGCAAACCCAGGACAAGCCTTGTATTAATTAATTAATTAATTTGGCAAACAGGACTCCAGGCATCATGTTCCTGTTGATTTGGTTGGCAGTTAGGCATCCCATGTGGCTTTTACATACCTTCATCAGGGATACTAGCTCTTGTTCTGTTTTATTCCTTAAGCAACGCACCATTTCAGCACTGTTCGTTTCACAGCCAGAGACCTTTGCTATTTCCTTTGGTTGAGATTAAAAAAAAGAAAAGAACATGCAGTTAAAGGCAGTTGTGATATGAACAAGGAAGAACAGCCATGGGTCAATTGGGTGGTGCTGAAAGACTTTGGCTGGGTTCACTCATACAATTTTAGAGTTGCTATCCCGAGTTTCAGTGGGTTTCCACCCCAAATAACAGGTTGTCGGAAGCATCACGAATGCTCCTAATCTGCACCCACCATGTCTTGTAGTGCTGGAAAGTGTCATCAAGTCGCAGCCAACTTATGTGAACCTCATAGGCTTTTCAAGGCAAGAGAGGAACATATCTGCACAGCAACTATGCATGCCCTTGGTGCTTTCCCATCCCAGTACTAACCAGATGTCAGCTTGACGTCTATACCTGGGAAAGTTTTAGAACAAATCATCAAACAGACAATCCTTGAGCATTTAGAAAGGACAGCTGAGATTACTAAGAGTCAGCATGAGTTTCTCAAGAACAAGTCATGTCAGACTAACCTTATCTCTTTTTTTTAGAAAGAGATTGCTGGATCATGGAGATGCTGTACACATAGTTTATCTTGATTTCAGTAAGGCTTTTGGTAAGGTTCCACATAATATGCTTGTTGACAAATTGGAAAAATGTGGTTTGGATCCTATGACTGTTAGGTGGATCTGTAACTGGTTGACAAATCACACCCAAAGAGTGCTTGTGAATGATTCCTCATCTTCTTTGAGAGGAGTGACAAGTGGAGTTGTCTCAGGGATCTGTCCTGGGACTTGTTTTGTTCAACATCTTTATCAGTGATTTGGATGAAGGGATAGAGGGGATGCTTATTAAATCTGCAGATGATACTTAATTAGGAGATGCAGTAGAAGAACTTGACAGGCTGCAAAACTGGGCTAAAACAAATAAAATGAATTTCAATGGGGATAAATGTAAAGTTCTGCATTTAGGTAGTAAAAAATCAAATGCATAATTATAGGTTGGGTTGGGGGAGACTTGTCTTGGCAGTAGTATGTGCGAAAAGGAGCTAAGGGTCTTATTAGACTATACACTGAACATGAGTCAGCAGTGTGATGAGGTTGCTAAAAAGGCAAATGCGATTTTGGGTTGTATCAACAGAAATATAGTGTCCAGATCACGTGAAGTGATGGTACCACTTTACTCTGCTCTGGTTAGACCTTACCTATTGTGTTCGGTTTTGGACACCACCATTTAAGAAGAATATGGACAAGCTGGAACGTGTCCAGAGGAGAACAACAAAGATGGTGAGGGGTCTGCAGACCAAGTCCTATGAGGAAAGGCTGAAGGAGCTGGGTATGCTTAGCCTGGAGAGGAGACGACTGAGAGGTGATATGATAACCATCTTCAAGTACCTGAAGGGATGTCATATAAAGGATGGTACAGAGTTGTTTTCTGTTGCCCCAGAAGGTCGGACCAGAACCAATGAGTTGAAATTAAATCAGAAGAGTTTTTGGCTATACATTAGGAAGAACTTCCTGACAGAGTGGTTCCTCAGTGGGATAAGGCTTCCTAGGGAGGTGGTGGGCTCTCCTCCTTTGGAGGTTTCAAACAGAGGCTGGATGGCCATCTGACAGCACTGCTGATTCTGTGAACTTAGGCAGACCATGAGAGGGAGGGTAGGAAGGGTTGCCTCAGTGCTTAGTTCTTGTGGCCCTTTCTTACACGCCCAGGGAAATGCTGATTGCCACTTTGGGGTCAGGAAGCAATTTTTCTCCAGGCCAGTTTGGCCAAGGATCCTGGAGTTTTTTTTTTGTCATCTTCTGGGTGTGGAACAGTGGTCACTGTATATATCAGGCTGGCACCAGGTCTTCTAATGAGATCTAGTTGGGTGGAGGAAAGGAATGTGACATTGGGTTAGCATCTCCCCAACCCCCCTGCAATTACCAGCAGAGAAAGGGGAGGGGGGGCAAAGATAAGTGGTGTAGGATCTGACTAGGATTTGGAAAGCTCAGGTTCAAATCCCCGCTTTGCTATCAAAGCTTGATAAGTAGCCTTGGTTCAGGAACTCTGACTTCCCCTAACCTACCTCCCAGTGTTGTTATTGTGAGGATAATACGGAGGAGTGGAGAATGATGTTATAAGCCACGTTGAGTCCCCATTGGGGAGGAATGAGGGGCACACATATATTTTAAGAAATTTAATTCATGTCATACATTTTTTAAAACCAGACTAACAACACCCTTGTATCACCTCATAACCTGTGGTTTTGGTCTCAGCCATTATTCCTTGTCAACTTTTTATTCATAGCACACTATAGGCCTCTTTTAAAACACTACACTGCCATTCCAAACTTACCAACAAAGTTTACATCTGTGGCGCAGCAGCACAGAGGCATTCATATATTGCAAATGAGGAGGGGGCGCAATGGAGAAGGTAATATTGTCGTATAATTTAAGTTAGGACTCCAAGTGGCTTACACAAACATAAAAACAAATACAATAACACAGTAGTATATATAAGGAAGCAAGAAAGTGTGATATGCACAATCACCATATTATACAAAAAAGGCAATGTGTGGACTTCCCATGCAGGTAGCGTTTCCATTCACCTGAACCAGACCGCTGTTGTCTCCTCATGAAAAGTGCACGTATTGCCCTTTTCACGTGATACCAGGATTGTGTATATTAGGTGTATCACAGGGACCTGTGGGCTCCTGCGTTTCACAAACAGAATCCCAGTGTATTACCTGCAAAGGGCTTAGCACTTTGGTAAATAGTCCTCTGAATCTACCCATCACTTTTCCAACTCTATTCAATCAGATTTGTCCCTTGAATCTAATAAAGAAACCAATTTTGCTTAGTTTTTTTAATTTTTCAAAAGATAGCACATGCTTGAATTTCCCACCCAACCATATTCTCTGGAACTATTTTCTGTGGGTTTTCTCTACAGTAAGCCATTTGAGGATGGTGCTGTTCTGAAGAGCACAATCCCAGCATTAAACAACAGCAGACTTACTTTAGCAAGGACTTCTGGGTGGGGAGTCACCAAAGTCGGAAGCTGAACAACTCCACTTTCTGATATGGCTCTGTGAAACAAACCCTTGGACAGTGGAGATAATATCTACAAGAAAAAATATGTAGAATAGGATGCATTAAAAATCTGAGGTGTTTAAATAACAAAGGCAGTTGGTTTTCTCTGAGGAGATGTAAATGAAGCCTTCTTGACATGAGGAGACCCAGGCAGTTGCTAGGATCACTCCTTTGGTAAGGCAGTTGCTAGGATCACTCCTTTGGTAACCTTAAGGGTTTATGTTTTGGTCTCATCTGGTACAACCTTTTTTCTTTTCTTTTCTTTTTCTTTTTGTGGCCCAGGCCAGCAAAAAACCTCATAAACCTGATAAAAGAGTATTACCTGACCTGTTCTAACCTATTTATTTGAGGAGGTTTCTTTGGTCTCCCTGTCATTCTTACTTTTGGATAGAACCAAGATAAATCTCATTATTTGGGATGCTGGTCCAAGCCCTGTAGTATGCTACTCCTAATAGTGGGGAAAGAAGGAGTCTCCTCAATGTTCTCTTCCAAACATTAACTCGCTATGGCTTTTTCATCCCTAGAAATTGTTGGAACTCTGTTTTTGGGAATGGCTTCACAGGGGTCTCTAACCTTATTGTGCCTGTGGGCATTTGGGGAATTTTGAGAACAGAGAGTGGGGACCATAACAAAATGGTTGCCGTGACGGCTAGGCCCAACCACAAAATGTTGAGAGGTTCCAAGCAGCGGTTTCCCGATGGGTGCTCTTTGCAGACAGAAACGTAATGCCTTCTGGGCTCTTTCGAAGCACCCCCTGCACTAAACGAGGTTGAGGAAAGCTTAGGCAAAGAGATTTTTGTTTTGGGGAAGAGATTCTTTGGGAAGAAAGAAGGGGTCACCATGATGCAGATATAAAGATGTCAATTCGACCATTGTAAGGTATACCCACATGAGCACTAACGCTAAACCCTCCTGCAGACTCGCCAAATATGGTCACACACTGGGGATCTCCTCCAAAGCGCCGGATGTTTTCCTGAACCCACTGGAGAGCTGCTGTTTGATCCAACAAGCCCCAGTTTCCACGGGCTTCTGCAGATCCAGTACTGAAAGCAATACAGGCACAGCATATACAAATCAAGGAATGGAAAATCACATGCATTTTTCTGTGGGTCAGAAACCAGTGCAGGAAGAGTATGAAAGGAAAAAAGTCAGCCATGACCCCATTCTTACTTCTGTTTTCTGCCAACATGATATATAGTTTCTCCTATCTCTAGGGCCTTCGTGAGAGTTTCACCCACTACCATTTCTCGTATGTACCATGATTAGCTGTCTGCTCCTCTGTCCTCTTTTGCTTTGCTTTACATAACAGCCTCTGTGCTTGACCATAAAATACCTCAACCCCACTCCCCCACACTTATGTTTTCCTCTTTCACTTCCTTTGCTAGAGCTGTCAATCACTGACACATTTACCACAAACAATTAGAACATTTCATGATATCACAGCACTATCGCAGATAGACAAGCAAATAATCAAGATGCTCATTATCTGACATCTGCATATAGAATTCCCATTTATTCACTTGGGGCTGGGAATTACCAGCTCCAATCTCAGTTTTGTACCCCCAAGAAATTAAGGAGCAGAAATAAAAATAGTCTCCACATAGTGACACTCAAGGAATTTCCCCTAGTCAATATGGCAAAGACCACAGAGATAAGGCAAGGCAGCCCAGAGTGTCACACAAAAGTGACATCACATCAGTATACTCTGCCTACCCAGGCACTGCCCCCCAAATCTCCTGGCACTGACTAAGGCAGTACTGGGAACCCTATCCACATAATGTCTCAAGAGGGCTGAACTATACTTGAAACCATTTGTGTGTCCACTACAGGTCCTATTAAGCAACTTGCACTGGGAGTTCCCTGTTGAAGCTTGGATTCTCAGGTGGATTGGGATCACAGCACAGAGGAAGAAGGTATTGAAGCCACTCCCCCATGACAAATAGCATCATGTGTCAGGTTCCACAGCCAACAACTGAGTACACGCTTATCAGAAAGGTTATACTTTATTGAAGAGCTATAGATGCATTAACAAAGGCACTGTTAAGAATATTGTCGCCTCTACAAGCATAATGGGATATAGGGTATTCGTATGCACTCCCCCTTCCTTGGGCCAATTAGCCACATTCCTGCATGCGGGGGAAGGAGCCCCAGGCCGTTAGAGCCAAAAGCTGGGAACCGACAGCGCTCCCACGGTTCCCTCACTCCCAGA